CCCCCTTTAGTGTCAAACACTTAGAAGTTACTTCTTCAATTATCAAGTGGTATCTCTCTAACGCATTTCTAACAAATAGGACTCAGCAGGTTAAGTTCAACAATACTCTGTCTGAGCCAGTACAACAGAACAAGTATGTAGGCTACTTAAACAGTCACAGAGAATGCTGTGTGATCCATCTGAGTACATTCTGTACTCTTTGTATGAGTTGCTACCATCAGGCAGATGGTTTAGAGTTCATCAGGGAGAAATTAACCATTTTAAGAACTCCTTTGCTCCTCTGTGAATCAGAATATTAAGCTCTAGCCTAAAATAAGTTGAAGCTTCACAGGTTGCAATATAAGCCAGTTCAAAGCCAGTTGGAGAGATGCAGATTGTTTGGTTGTTTTTGATTTTAAATCACTGTTTTTATCTCCTAGCGTTACATACCCATATCTAAATAATCAACAAAATAAAGTTGGCAAATATCCTAATTTTATTCATAATAGTCATATTTAATACATTTATTTTACAGCCCTTACAATACTATTTATTCTATATCCTAGTACAGATAATAAGAAGTCCTGCATATTAATTATGCATATTGCGGGACTGGCAGTAGTTAGACTGTAGGTATAGCCCACCTGTGGTGGGGATGTAATGATGTTATTTGAACGCAACAAACAGAACCGTTCCGAATCACGAAGAAATGTTAACAAATTTGCAGGACAAATGACGAGAACACCAAACAAAGTGACGGAATCAGCAGCATCCTCTTGCTGTAACAGAGAGAGAGAGAGAGAGGGAGAGAGAGCGTGAGGAGGAGAGAGAGAGAGAGCGCGTGAGGACAGCGAGAGAGACCGCGCACGAGCATCCTGTGCTCAGACTCTCCAAGGAGGCTGCGATGTAGACAGGATGAAACTGACGGGGTGTTTTTCCGAGGACCGTGCCTCTCGGTTGTCGTTACCTGTCATGGTATATCATTACCATCTATTAATTATGTGGAGAACAGGAGGAGCTTATTATCATTTTGTCGATGCCTGAGGATTATGGACCGTTACAATAACGAACAACTGTGTAACGCTTCGGACAGCTGCCTCTTTCTTTTTCTTTTTCTTCTTCTTTCCCTTCTTTGCTTAAACAATTTTTAAAGCGCTGGCGTCGGTGATTTTCTAACAAAATGTTGAATTTAGCGCTCTGTCGACGTGAAGGATGCCCGTGGCACGTCATTTTTTGTTGCCGTTGGACATAAACCTGTGGACGGGCGCCGTTTCCCAGGGAGTATGATACAATATTTTGACATAACCGTTATTTTTGTGTGTTACGCTCTATTGCGCATGCCTAGTGTTAGCTATAGAATGCTGCCCGACGCCACTTCTCTCCGTCCTGGCCGTGATTTAGGAGAGAAAAAGTGACGGCAGCTGGGGGACTACATAGCAAAAGAGAGAGAGAAAATGCGTTGGCAAAGTGGCAGCGTGGCGAGCAAAGGATTTGACTTGAGATCCTTCATGAAATAGATTGTGCCATAAACTGAAGAATGTCAGGGACACCAAATGCAGAAGCTGAAGGAGTAGTCTCCAAAGTAAAAGTGAAAAAGGAGATCAAGACAATCGTGGAGAATTTGGAAACCATCCTGGGAGATCTTAAGGATGTAGCTAAAGAGCTCAAAGAGGTAAATTAGAAGAAGTGTTCTGCCATGTGTCGTGTTATTTCCACAGGCTTGCTGTGAGGGTGCTTTTTCTGAGCATCCTTGACTGAGAGGAGATGGAGGGCTGACATCGACCTCACCAGTGGGGCCTGGAAAAGACTACACACCGTGCTCCTGCCTTTCCCATTAATGTGTGTGATCATTATCACCAACATGAGAGACATTTGGCACTGGGAGGACATAGGGTGTGAAATGGCAGGACAGCTTCTTCACCCTGACTCATAAGCTTTGATGAAAGTGTGGAAAAATGTGATCACAATTAATATTTAATGGACAAGTTGGTGCAAGCAGGAAGGTGATTTTGCATTGAATTTCATCATCTTAATGCTGACTGTTTTGTTGGTCCGAATGATTTCCTGCCAAATAATAGAGAGAAAGTGGTCTTTTTCTTTTCACCTGTCACCTCCCTGGACTCCTTGTGGTGTCTTGCTTATCTTCATCTTTCTTTGTCTCTTGGCATGTGTATTTGTGGCTGTCCTCCTCCTCTCTAGTCCTAAAAGATCAAAACTCTTAGAGCTGTCTGACTGAGGTCTCAAATCTCAGTGATGGAGAGACTACAGATGTTTCTGTAGAAATCAGGATGATATTTCAGGTTTATATTCACAGTCACAGAACCAGTAATATATAGCTGCCTCTGTGACATATTTTCCCTTCATTCACATTAGAGTGGTTTCTCTGAATCAGTCTCACCCCCTCACTTGAAATAACCTGCAGTCTTACCTGCTTTTATGCTTGCATTCCTCTGCCGACCGCACACCAGGCATCCAGTCCGCTCTGCCAAACCTCTAACCTTAACATGACAAGCTGTCATTCTAATACAACTCTATTGCGTACAGCCTGTGGTACATTATGGATGGGTAGCCGACACAGCATCTGTCTCCTTCTGCTGCTCTGTTCCCCTCACTCTCATTTTTTCCTGCAACTTTGACTAAATTACGCTCCTTTTGTGTTTTTCAGCAGTTTACAATATGTCACAGCAGGCACCAGAGATAAATGAGAAGAAGAAGCCATTGTAATCTGTCTATTGTGATCTTTTTATGTGATGTGCCCTTCCTTTTTCTTCCCTTCTTGCTTTTTTTTCTTTTGCTTCTGGGAGATTGTGTAGAGGATCAGTTATTCTGACACCGCACACACTAAACACATACCTCCAGGGGGTGTTACTATCAAAGCCAGTGTTTGGGGTGTAATCCATTTGAAATGCAGTTATCTGTTATAACTCACAGACGGGGCTGGAGCCGAGCCTGGCTCCAAGGAGGGACCCTGCCCAGATGCTTGGCACCGCCGCTGAAGCTGCCTGGCCTACAACAGGGGCTGCACACTGGGATACTGGTATTACCTCTTGTGTGTGTCCCAACAAATTATCCATTTAAAGACTGCATGGAGAGTTTAGCACTCTGCCCTAGCCTTCTCATCTTTATTTTTATCGCTCCCTCTCAGTCACTTGCTCTCTCCTTAGTTGCTGTTTGCACATGCATTTAAAACCACATGATAGCAAATGTGCTTGAGAGCAGGCTAACATACTGGGTACTCTAAGATGAGAACCCCTAATCCAAAAGATAAACAATATCTTTGTCTCAAATGTTGTAATTTTACTTTCTAGAGAAATTTTCTCCTTGGTTGCTTTAACGGCTAGGATACTGTGAACCTATGCATGCTCAGCTCAACTTATGTTAGACTTTTTTAGACCCTATGAGAGCTGCTGAGTTAAACATTAGCAAAATGTCCAACACCACTTCAGTTCTGGGCTTCAAAGGAAGCACCACTCTCCAACAAGGGAAGAGAAGCAGGAAGGAAATGTACTCTAAAGGGAAGGTTTTTGGAAAGACTTCTGAAAATGCCTCAATAACGTGGGCATTATATTACTAAGTACCAGTTATTAGTTCCCAGTAGAGTTTACTATGATTATTAAATTTTATCTGCTGTGTTAAAGATTTCTTGGGCAATGTTTATGATGTATTATAAACCTTTCCAGCATCCAGATATTGCCTGAGCACTGTAGGTGTAAATGAATAGTAGAGTATCTGTGTCCATGGAAGTGCTGAAAGTGCAAGTACTTACATTTCTAAAGATAAAGTGTGCATGGTCTATCATATTTTAGTTGTCTAGTCAGCCCTTGGTTGGTTTTAGGTGGGTGCATCTTGTTTGGTCGACAGCTGGAATTTAGAGGTGTCACAATTAGGGTTAATATAGCTTTTATTTTATTTTTTTATTTCAACTTTTTAATGTTTTTATTTAGTGAGTTTACTTATTCAATTTATTGCCAGTTATTTAAAAATGTTCAGTTTAATTTTGAATAACTAAAAAGGTTAATTTTATTTTCCTTTGTAGTTAAAATTTGTCAGGGGCAAAGTAGAAGTTCAGAACAGAAGGAAGTTTCCTCTACAGTCTACATCTTTGTTCTTTTTTCATTAGTTCAGTTCAGTTAGCTGGGCTTTTTTCATAGTAAGCTCTAGTTAACTATAATAGCCTTAGTTTTGATGGTAAATGGTTAATGGGCTGGTACTTACATAGTGCCTTTCTACTTAATGTGAGCACTGAAAGCACTTTCTACAACAAGTTTAATTAATCCAATTACACAACACACATATTCAGGCAGTGCTTTTATCTATATGCAAGCACTTATCTAATATTCACTTAAACTCACACTCTAACTTGGGGGTTTGACACATGGACAGGAGTATCTGGGATGGGTTCATTGACCTCCAATTGGTAGACGACCCGCTCTACCACCTGAACCACTGATAAATATAATCACATACTGAGAATAACATTGATATTTAAAATTGAAATATTAATATTGTGTCAATAAGGAATATATGATAATATAACATATATTGTTCTACTGATTAATAAATATTTGCTAAAGAAAAATCACTACCAAAGTGTTAGCAAAACACTTTTAGCCTCT